CAGGGAGAGCTATGTAGGAAAAGATGAGGGGTAAGAGAAGGAGTTGGCTCCTGCTATGTCCTAGATGCTAACCCCCTACTCTGCACATAGCTATTCTGGGAGTTTCAGGAAACTTTGGGACTGAACACATTATTTAGGGCTGATCTAGGCTGCATCTGCACTGCAAAATTAATGCAGTTTGACACTGCTGTAATTGCCATGGCTCAATGCTGTGGAATTCTGGAACCGGTCGTTTTGTGAGTTATTTAGCCTTTTCTTTCAGAGAGCTCTGGTGCCACAACAAACTACAAATCCCAGGATTCCATAGGATGGAGCCATGACAGTTAAAGCAGTGTCAAACTGCATTAATTCTGCAGTGTGGCAGCCTTAGACACAAAGCACAATGAGGTGACAGTCAACAGAAGACAAGATAGGCTGAATCATTCCACATTGCAAAGATGGCACAATAATAAAATATTTAAAAACTTGAAAACACCATGGAGCAAGCTAGAATAAAACTTTTTTTTTCCCCATGGCGTGTTTAGTTTCTACTTCTAGGGAGTTTTCCACAGAGAAAACATGTAGGAAGTGTTACCTGCCCCTTTACATCTTTAAGTGGAACATTCCTGCCTAGGATCTTTTCCTTCATGGGATCAATCATATGCTTAAGTAAACACTGAAGAAAATTTAGTGTCCCTGTCTTGTCCGGTGAACAATCCTATGCAACTCTAAAACTAACACACTTTCTACACTAGTAAAGATTGGTATATCTATACTAGTTTATCAAAATGTTAATACTTTCCATTTAATTTTGCCTAAAGCATGCCCTTAAAGAGTTGCAAAGGTAAGAGGGGAGGCAGGGGAAGAAGGTACAACCCATTTTGCTCAGCAGAAAACAAATGCTGCAGAAGTATATCAGGACAGAAAGCAAGATCTGAGAAACATGCACGCTTGCTAGAAATGGCAGGATTTCAAGGAAGGGACACAGCCGCTGAAAGGGACTCCCTGTTCTCACTTGTGCATTACCAAAAAATACAAGTTCCACCTCCACTAACCTCTCTCTCCTCCCCCACACAAACACAAGAAAAAAGAAAAAGCCAAGGCAGAAATCATCTCGAGGAAATGTTATTTCAATGAGCCGAGGGTAGGCTTAGGGAAAGCACAACACGCAGAGCAGCAAACCAGTTACCTTGGAAATATTAATAAAGCAAAATGGTTGAAAATGTGACAAAGGGAGCGTCTTTCAGCGTGAAAAGGGAAAAGAGAGAAAGGTGGTGAAGGAGAGTGGCCTTGCAGCAAAACTATCTAAAACAAATGCAGCAATGGGAGGAATTTTCTCCATCACCAAGGCAAGGTGGTCTATGTTTCAAAAGTGAAAAGTTCATCTAAGCCAGAAATCAAAAATACAAAATCTGCCTTATCTCCAGGACAAACCACTGATGTATTTAACCCTCTACTCTCGCCTCCCTAGTGACAGGAGCAATGCAAGGTTGGCAAGAAGAGATCCTTCCCAACCATATTGCCAGTTTTTCTTTTATCAGAGGAGGGAATATGGCTGCAAAAGCCACCCATGGCTGGGAAATAAATCCAGCTAAAAATCAATAGTTGCATCCCCCCTCAGAAACATCAGGATTGTTGGTGTTATGCATCTTCAAACTGACTTCAGACTCATGCAACCCTTTCATAGGGTTGCCTCAGATCTCTACCTAGATTTTATTTCACAGCTAAAGGATCAGCCATTGTGAACCTGATACTCTCCTAATACACTGAATGGAAACTCCTGTGATTCCCAACCAGTATGGACAGTAGGCATAGAATGAAAGATCTCAGATCAAAAACATGTTGTCAGTCCATTGGTTCATCTAGCTCAGTCTGTATTATACAGATTGCCTGGTAATTCTCTACAGTTTCAGACAATTCTTTATACAGCCTGTCTAGAGATCCTCTCCTGATTGAACTTCTACTCTTCTGAATATAAATCACATACTGTACAAGCTGGTGTCCTTCTAGAAAAGACGGCACCAGGCAAGATATTTAACATATAAAGTATTATATTTCTCCCCTCAGTATATGACAGGATTTTGCAATTAGACAATACTCTGTCACAATAGGGTCAAATCCATCATTTTGCATGCACAACAGAAAGAGAAAATTTTCCCAGATTATCAACAGTGGTGCAAGATGAGTGTGAAAAGCCAATCATCCACTTGTGCAGAAGGAAAGAGAAAGGCCGGCAGTCGGGAAAGAAAGAGGTCAACCCGCAAGAGGATACTTACAGGCAGGCCTTTCCCAGCAAAGGCTGTAAAGAGACAAAGGGTGGGGGGGAGAAGAATGGAAAAGAAATCAGTATGGTTTGCAAAGCTGGTTCTCATGGTAGGAAACAGAAAGGCCAGGGAGAAGGGTTAATCAGATGGCCAGGGAAAAGACAGATCAAGAGACACAAAGCCATCCAGCTTTCGCATCTACCCACATTCATGCTCAAAGGTCACAAAATGTCAGAACAGCAGCCTCCACCATTTTAGATCCCTAGTACAGAGATGGCCCAACAAGAATATGGAGAGGTTGGGCAGAGGCGTGTGGAACTTCTCAAACATGGAGTTTAACTACCAACAGAGACTAGAGACTGTCCCACTTCATGCTCATGCTTGACTGATAGGTTTGGCTTTCAAATCACCTGAAAGACTGTCTCTCCCTATACAAGCCAAGTCTTTTTCTACTCATGGTGACCCAAAAGCAAGCCTCTCATAGTGTTTCTTGGCAAGTTTCGTCAGAGGGGGTTTGCCATTGCCCTCCTCTGAGGCTGAGAGAATATGAGTCGCCCAGAATCACCCAGTGGATTTCATGGCTGAATAGGGATTCGAACCCTGGTCTCCAGAGTCATAGTCCAATGCTCAAACCACTACACCACACTGGCTCTCTGCCTAGCAGCCTACTAGAGTTTCAATTCTTGATCCCATCAACATCAGGAGTACATCTGGTGAGGACTTAGGAGAGAGCCTTCTCAGTGGCTGCTCCCAGGATATGGAACGATCTATCGAAGGAAGCTTGGTTGGCCCCTTTTTGCTCTTTTTTCGCCCTTCTTATTTGAACAAGCCTCCAGTTGGTTGGGTTAGTGCAACAGATGTGCTGGTTCTTAAAATATAATAGGTTTTTAATGTGTTTTCAACTGTTCTGAACTACTATTTTTTAAGTGGATCGTTGTTCAATGCTTTAAAAAAATGTATTACGAGTTGTAGTAGCTGTTTTGCTTTTATGTACAGTATAAACCACTTTGGGTCCCATATGGGAAAACCCTGGTGCCGGATGACAGTCTCCTACCCAAGTACCAGCCATGTCTAACCCTATTTCTAACCAAAATCAGAAAAGACCAAAGACGCTCAGGGTGCTCTGGTACTCTTATCCAGCTCTTCTCGACAGCTGGGAGTCAAAATCCAATGCTCATAGAGGCAATGCATCTGATACAGAAATGAAAATTGCTTTCTTCAAGTAGCTATGCTAATGATACCAGGAGACATTGCTATAATATCAACAGACTTACATTGATATTAATTTTTTTAATTATGGAATGAGGGTGTAGGTAGGAAGGTTTGGAGCAGAAAGACAATTAAATGAGACATTATTTAAACATGTGTTATTTCCAAAGTCCAAAGGCCAGACTGAACCTATTTCTGATCATTGCGCATGACCTATCTTCACTAAGCATATGCCACCATACAACCAAGCTCAAAACACAGGAGGGTATGCTCAATCTGACTGTTTTTTAAAGGTTAACATAAGATGTTTTTTAAAATTATAAAGTCTTTTACTACTTTTTTTTTTTTTTAGTGGAAGGAGAGGAATGCAAAAAATGATGTTGGCTGTGATCTCAGAGAAAGTACTGCCGTTTAAAAAAAGATGGAACAAGCCATACCAAAGTACTACCTCCCAAGATTTAAAGCAACAGAAGGTACAAACATGCAATGACAACAGCCACAACACTCCACCATCACCACAACCACCATACAAACAAAAGAAAACCACCAACAAAAGAATGTAACCAACTTGTCCAGGCAGCTGGGTGGGTACTTCCTGGGGCATACAGATGGGCAGGGCAGCAGAAGCAGCAGCGGCCACATGCTCCTCAAAGCTGTTGATGCGAGGTTTTTTGGTGGGCTCTGGGCTCGCTAGAGGGGTAACGCTATTGCGTCTCATGAGGGTGTTAGGTCCCTTCTTTGCATCCTAAATTAGAGCGAGACAAAGATAAAAAGTAATAATGAGGACGAAGGCGAAAGTTATGAAGAAAGCAGTTTTATTTTTAAAAAAAACATGATGGGTTAATTGGATTGGCCAAAACATACCAAACAAAAAGGAAAAAAATAGGTGAAGATCAGGAAAACTGGGAGATACTTTGCAAGGACGAGGAGTTACTACTACTGAAATCTCCTAACAGCAATCTCTCTCGCAAACACAAACATACAAACAGACTCAGCATACTTTTTAAAGCAGTAATGTGAGGCCAGGAATGAAGACGTTCTGGAATCAATCTCAAAGTCTCTCTTGGACCTCTGAAGAAAGCAAGTATAAAGGCCTCTATAATCGAGAACCTAATGCTTTAGCACGATGCAAAGACATGCTGAATGAAGACATACTGGATGTATTTCAGAAGGTGAAAAGCCCTAGCCAAATTCCAAAATCCCTGCCTCAAAACATAATTTGGCAACCTAGTGTTATATATTTGCCTCCTGACTTCAGATTCACAGTCTTGCCTTCAAATATAGCTAGCAATGTTAAATCATTTTAAAAGAACATTCAACACAGTGAATTCCTTCATACATGACAAATACAGCACGAAACCAGTCATTACATCAATGCCCTTGACACCTGACCAGGGTACATGAGACTTTTACCACCTTTCTAAAACTTAAGAAGAAAAGTAGACAAGTGAGCCTTACAAAAGAGGGAGTTCCATCTGGCAAGGGGCTGTCAAAGAAAAAGCCCTGCTGCTAACATGGCTTCCAATAGTCGCAATTTAGGACCTTTCAAGGGCTGAAGAATAAAGATAACCTCCCACCAACCCAGTCTACGTTTGGGATATCATTTCTTGTGATGGGCCTCCAATGTGTATGTTTCTGAAGAAGAAGAGAATGACTAGAGAGAGGTGGGAGCCAGCTTGGAGAGACTTCAGCATCCTTCACTCAAGTGCCCCTTCCGGTACTAAACACTAGACCTCCTACATCACTTTTCACTCACTGCTGGGAAAGAGCTACAGGTAAAGAAGAAGGTTGGCTAACTCTTGTCTAGTTCTGGCCCCAAGTGTGCATGAGGTCTCAATTTATACATCATTCATACATCAGGACTCTGAAAGGGCAACTCTCTTTAGGCAATCCAGTAATACCTTCCCCTCCCTCACTGCGTACCTGTGCCTCCAACACCCACACCATATGCTATCACAGCCTCAAATGCCCTTCCCAGTGGCTACTGAAGGCATTTCAAGCAAGCAAGGAGCCCCTTCCCAGAACTTGAGTCAATAATCCCTGTATCAAACAAATACAGGAATTCTCCATATTCTCTGAGATTTGTAGTGTTATTATTATTAATAATGCATATGCTCTAGACTGCTCTCAGAGGAGGAGTATGAGATGGCATGGGTTTCCAAGGACTTCATCAATCAATTAAAAGCAAACCTCATGCAATGGGCCAGAAAGCCAAGAGGCAAACTGTGTGTCAAGGGGATTGTATGAGGACCTAGAAGAAAACTTTTTTCAAACTTGGAGTGGCCTAGCTCCTCAGGATACCGATCTTGTATGTAGGGTTTACTGTTCAGATTAGGATTACCAGATCTCAGGGTCTGGCCCTGAGTCTTAGGGCCTTCCATACTTCTGCAACCCGGACAAAGAAACCTTAGGGTGAGAGTGCCATCTTGAAAAGTATGCACATCTATCTATCTTCCTGGCTTGTTAGATTTGTAGTGCCTTTTTTGAAAAACCTGAATGGCATACCTGTGCAACTGTAGTTTATGGTCAAGGACATATTTTCCTTAACATCACAAAATGCTGGCCCTTTTGACATCAGCCTTGTACCACCACTGGAGCCCACCTCCTGTGATGTCATGAGAGATCAGCCCTAGGTCCCAGTTTTTGGCCCTGAAAACTCAGTCTGGGATAGTCCTGGTCTGGCAATCCTCATTCAGATCTGAGGTGGATTGGTGCTGAATGCTTCTCTGTATAAACTAAAATATACCCAGTTTATATGTCCAGCTAGACATGAAGTTGGCCCTCTGACATACTGGTTCTCTCACATACTGATGTTCCCCGTGTCATGAGGGTCCACATTCAGCCTGACGCAAGATGCCCACCCCAGTTTAGTTCCTTGAACAGGTTGTCTCCCTTATCTAAAATGCTTGGGACCAGAAGTGTTTTGGATTTCAGATTTTGGAATATCTGCATATATATGCAGATATATGAGATATTATAATAATATCATCATCATGATCATCATCATCATCATCATCATCATCCTGCTCCTCTGCATGGGATCTAAGTCTAGACACAAAATTCTTTTATGTTTCATATGCACCTTATACACATAGCCTAAAAGGAATTTTATACACAATATTCTCAATAATTTTGTGCACGCAACAAAGTTTGTGTACACTGAACCATCAGAAGGTAATGGTGTTACTATCTCAGCCAACCATGTAGACAATTTTGCATTTTGGAATAGTTTGGAATTCCAGATAAAGGAGACTCAACCTTTAACACAAGACATTTCAGATACCCAGAAAGAGCTACTAAACATGATCTTTTTGTATTACCTGCTGCTGCTGCTACTATTGTTATTCTACTACTACTGCTATTGCTGCTACTACCACCAGCCTTCCACCATAAACTGTCAGGGGAAAAAACACTGCTTACAACGAAAGGGAATCCGTCTTTGAATGTTTTTCTAAAACTCAGGTGTCTACCCAAGTCCTTTCCATGTACACAGGGCTGGGGGGATGAAGGCCCAAGTGGAGGGCAGAGGCCCCTCACCTCTGGTCTATCCCGGTGAGTGTTCACGGCTTCAACATTCAAGAAGATGGATTCAACTCTACAACCTTCAGGAAGGGTGAGACAAAAAGAAAAGATGCAGAACATGGTCAATTACTTGGGTCTCAATGTTCAGCTAAATAATTACACTGAGGGGGGAATACTAATCAAGGCTACTTTTATCAAAAATTAATTAAAATCAGATAGATTATTAAGAAGCAATTTAATTATTCTTTGATTCAAGCATTCAGAAATCTGAGAAGGAAAGGGTATCTCATTGATCTGTTTTTCACTGTGGTTGTATCTGAATTGCAGAGATGGACACCACTTGGCTAATACTATGAAATCCTGCGATCTGTATAGTCTGTTATGGCACCAGAGCTCTGACAGAGAAGGCTAAATAGCTCACAAAACTACAAATCCCAGACTTCTATAGCCTTGGGGCATGGAAGTTAAAAGTAGGGTCAAAGTGCATTATTTCTGCCATGCAGATGCTGTCTATGTTTTAAATTGTTTTAATAGTGTGAACAGTTGAATTCTATTTTAATGTTGCCTTTTGAATGTTTTCAACTATATTGCACCTGATTTAAATTGTATGTTGCTTTTGGTTCCAATTTTGGGGAAGAGATAGGGTATAAATAAAGCTGATGGTGATGATATTATCATCTTAAAATTAGGATTTGCCCCTTCTCACATGACAACCAAAGAAAGATAAATCATTTAATGATTTTTTTTTAAAATCCATATAACAATGCACAGAGAAACCAAAACAACAAATCACTGGATTAAAACTAAACCCACTACATTTCCTTTAATCAAGTGAAAAGCCCCAACAATTAAAGGACATACAAGCACTGTCTGACACACCCATTTGTGCTAGAGTCAAGGAATGGTATGTTGTTTCTGA